ATTGTACAAAGGCTGTAAGTAATGCCATTTTGGGCTGTCCTAAATCTCTACACTTGATCATTCATAAGGATGCAGTCATTTGTTGGTAATTTTAATTGACTGACTCAATATGAACATGTTTTCAGATATAAGGTGTAGTTATCAACTGGTAATTGTGTTTTAATATTTGAATATTTTGTGTAGGAGTAAAAGGACCAAAATATTTATTGCTGATATGCCTCTATTGGAAAAAATAATAAAATAAGTAATCTGTAATTTGCGTATTATAATGGAGAAACTCTTAAGTCCAGGAATTGATGAGAGCACAACCAGGAACTGGACTAATGGCCCTTAATCACAGAGATGAGCAGTCTTGTAAATGCCAGAAATAATCACCATTTCATCCCATTTCAGTGGGACCCAAAGAATAACAACATGTTATGAACTGTAATGAACTGTTTTCTCAGTGTTGTTTTCTGTAGGGGCTGTATGAGATTGGAATAACGGATTTAAACTCATCCTAAAGATACGTTTAGTCTGTTTAGTGTCTTCAGCTAAAGCAAATTTAAAATAGCTATCACTTTAACTTTTTTATGTCGGCTTACAGTGTTTCTGAACAAAGCTTGTTTGCTTCTAACCATGAGAATGAAGTAAAAGATCACATGTTTTTATATAGCTTTGAGGAATATATTCTTTTACAAGAAAATAATATTAACTAAAAATAGTTTAAACTTCTGCTTTGAAAACAACCTGAGCATAGGAAAACAGGGAGAGGAAAGTAGGTTGAAATGTTAAGCATTGTGTTTTGTAATTGTCAATACTTGCCAAGAAATTGTTCAAATAAAAGAATGATTAAAGAAGATGCTATATGCCTAATACAGCATTATTATGCCTAGCACTAAAGAAAATACTATATGCCTAAATGGGAATATAGTATTGGCAAATAGCTTCTGTATGGAATGAGCTAGGTATGATCAACATTTATCGTTGCTTTTTGAGCAAATTAAGTGATATGTAAGATCAGAAAACATCAAGGAACATTCTGATTGTATTTTTCAACCCCTTTGCATGATCAGTGGACTCACCCTAGGCTCATTTAAGATTGGAAGATGAGCAAATGCAATCTGTGAGGACCCTCAGACCTCAAGTAAGGCCTTTTGGCATCAGCCATGGGAAGGAGAATGTTGTTGGAGTTTATGTTTGCAAGGTTCAGAATTTCATCTTTTATTTCATCCTGTGCAGTGATAACACTGGATTCATATGGTATCAAAACCTGTTGTGTTTCAAAGGGAGAACATACACTTTGGTAGAATATGTTGTTATGCGTTCCAGTTGTCATTGCCTGAGTTTTCCATGTCTTTATTATCAGAACAAATTCCAGTATTGTGGAATGTTCTAAAGATACTCTGCAAATTTTGATACATTGCATGTCTGCAAAGGGAGCGTAAACCTTGATTACACAAGCTTCTATTGTGCTCTGGAGGGATAGGAGGTTTCCGTGGAATCACAGAATATCTCAAGTTGGAAGGGACCCATAAGGATCACGGAGTCCAACTCCCTGCTCCCAGCAGGGCTACCTATAGCTAAACCATAGGACTAAGAGCATCGTCCAGACGCTCCTTGAACCCTGCCAGGCTTGGGGCCGTGACCACTGCCCTGGGGAGCCTCTTCCAGTGACCGACCACCCTCGCAATAAAGAACCTTTTCCTAATGTCCAATCTGAACGTCCCCTGATGCAGCTTCATTCCATTTTCATGTGTTTTATTCTGTATCTGGCATTTCGGGGGACTCAAGAGTATAAATTGTCCCTTGTATATTATAATCTGCTTCAGACAGGCAAGAAGCATTTTACAGATGGGAGCAGATATATCTTACAAGGTGATCTGAAACTCCACTCAGAAGTAAACACTGAGTACTGAAGTAGGCCAGGGTTGAACTGGGAACATGCACACAAACACGCTCTATAGTTTTTCGCTTCTACTTGCTCAAAGAAAAATTAGATCTCTTTAAGGATGCATAATACAAATAAGAGAAAACACCTAAAACTAATTAAACTGTACAAATATTTCCAATATTATTAATATGTAAAATACCATATTTGAGTGTAATTGTCAGTGAATCATACATGCATATTTTTGCTTAGTCTTAGGTAAAGGTTTGGGGCTATTCCAATATTTATGTATTTCTGTTACCAACTTGTTGGCTCTAAGTGACTTTAGTATAATCAAATTTGGTTGTACTGTTTTCGTGAAGCGCTTTGAGGTGATTGATTTCTTTGAAATGCCTATAACTGTCAGTTATTTGTTGATTTGGAGTTAATCAGTTCACCTTGTTGTGAAGTTGTCTTAGTTTTTAAGGTTTGCCCCTCAAAACAGCATATCTAGAAATCTGAGACAGTTCTGTCCTTCAGTCTCTACTACGAATCCTCCAGGTGTGTTTTACTCCTGAAGATGGGTTGGTTATCCTGCTCAGTAGCTTGACTGATGACATCTGAAAGAGCAAAATTTGTGTTTCCTGCTTGAGTGAAACCTTGATTCCATCAGAGTTAAGTAACAAACATTTCTTAATCATAGTTTCAAAAAATGGATAGGCCATATTTTTTAACTTTGTTAAAACTTTGGGGTAACTTTCTCAGTCACATCCACAGTTCAAAAAACTACTGTAACATTAGACTCGTTTGGAACTGTTTCCTGCATTAGGTAATAGTAACAAAAATAAAAGCAAAACATTGTACCAAGTTTAATGTACAGACATTTTAGGTCTCTGTTTTACTAATGCATAGTATGCTATTTTTATTATCTGGGACAACACATATTCAGTGAAGTGTATCTGATCTCAAGTGCATGCTACAAGTTTTTGATAATTTTCTCCTAAAAAGTGATCTAAAAAGTGATCAAATCTTACTTAAGAAATGAGATTTTAGCAGGTGTAGCTGTTTACTTGAGGTATGTATTTTCCCTTTAAATTAGTGAATGTCCCTTGTAGGTAATACTTAGTTTTCAGGTGGTTGATTGTATCATGGATATTATAACATTGATGAAAAGATAAATTAAGTTGCCTTCTTACAGTTTGCCTTCTCTGTTTTCTGTAGAAGAGTAGTCTTGCTGATCTTGGTGAGAATGCTATATTGAATGTGTTTGTAGGATCAAAAGGTATAGTCTATAAATTTCTGATTTTTACTTTTTCCCTTAATGCTAAGAAGTCTGGATTTTAGCTGTGTAAGTGCTTTAGCAGATTGATCCCCTAAGCTGAGCGTGGTGTAATTGCATTAACTTTTTTTTCAGCATAATCTTTAACATGGTATATCCGTCTTGCGTGAAGATGAGGGAAGTGTATAGCATTTGAATGCAAATTTCCATTTTCCTTAATCTTATTGGAAAAGTAGTATTTCATCTATTGATTAAGAACAAGTTCTTGTAAAGAGGGAAGATCACAGCTGCTGTGACTGTATTCCATCATACTCAAAATAACTTTTCTTACCTGTATCAGATTTCTATTGTAGTAAAAGTAGCAGAATGCTCATTAAAATGCCTACTGTGTATACAACGTATATATACATGTGCATAGGTATGCACATACATATACATAGCCAGTAATTCACTGTAATATCTGTCTGAGAGTAAAGACTCCATACTTCTTTAAATTAAGAAGTCTAAACAACGTTGGTATATCCTGAGTCAGTTAAAAGCAGTTATCTCTAAATAAAAAATCAATTAATTACCAGACTTACATAAGTATCCTGCTTACCTTTGTTTATAAAGGATGTTAAGAGCTGAATATTGGGATAGTGAGTAAGGCAGTACTTTCTAAGCTATAATCGGTGGTCGGCAGGTAGTTCACTAGGCTCTGGTAAGGCGTATAGTGCTGTATAGAATCTATAATATTTTTGTTTCAGGTTTGATTATTAAAGTATGATGTGGTCTGTAAGAAATCCCGAGAACTGGCAGTGGCCCATTTGCTCCTTATCCTAATAAATTGATCTTCCTGGTTCACTCTATTTAAAAATCAGTACACAGAGAGAGAGGGAGATAATTCAATCTTAGAATAGTGTTTTGCACCCCATTTTGCTGCTTTTTTTTCATCGTTCCCTGCAGCTTTGTCTTTGTCTGTATGTCCAAAACACACCAGTCTAACAAAGTACTACTCGGTGGATTCAAGTAAGAAAAGAGGAAAGCAGAAGGTATAAAGACAAAGTAATTTGAGTAGCTTTCAAATTTTTTGTGTTCATGCATTCTTCATTTTGCTTTTCTTCATTGTACTGCTGGACAGGCTTTGCTCAGAGAGTCTCGAACTTCATGTGAAATTTTTAAGATTTCGTTGTCCTTCAGCATTTTCTTTTCAGGGAAGGAACTTGACTGCTGTTTAGTTCTTATCACACTTACGTACTTGCATGACTTATAGGTGGCCTTTCGGCTTTTTTGTACTAGAAATATTACTCTTTTATTTGAATGTGTAAGTACAAATTCCTAAATTTGAAGAGAAGTGATGTAAGTTTTTGCACTTTGTGTTAGGAAACAGAAATGTACAACTTTTCAGTTAGGGAAAACTGTGAAGAGACATTGTGGACCAAAATTTGGTTGGTGACAAAATTAATTGGATGTGGAAGAGTAAAGTTGACAAAGTGTTGAAATAGGTAATGGTGAACATTTAAAATCTAGAACGGTGACTCCCAAGCTTTCTTGCACTGGTAAGTCTAATTATCAAAATTTTCTGTTAACTACTATGTATGATCAGACATTTAACCCAAAGCATTTGAAAAGTAATATGGTTCTACAAGAGCAGTAATTTGTTAAGCATTAATTAAAACAATGGACAGTTTGCCTATATGGTAATGTCCCTTCTGTGTAAAATTGTAGCTTTTCTTCTTTACGATTCATAGTTCATTCAAGTTTAGATCAAGAAAGTAGAGGCCATGGGATGGAGTAGGGGACAAGGCTGGCAGGTTTGGTGGTGGAGTGGGTACCTGAGGGTGACTGCATTCATGACCACATGCTGTTACGGCTGTTACGGAGTAGGGCTGGATGACCACAGCAGAAGAGGAAGGTGAGAATGCTGTTGGTCTCGAGTATATTCATAAGATTGAAAGCTTTGTGTATAAAGCAAAAGGCAAGTGTATGTCAGATCAATCAAATTTGATACTGCTTTTTTCTATTTATTAAAGAAAAATGAGTCAAATATTAAGAGTCTGCTGTAAAAGGAATTGGGATTTTTACAGGCAGGGTGAAAGAACTGGATTTTGCTAATGTGGGAAGAATTGCTGCTACTTGTACTTTAAAAGATACAAATACCAATGATTCAGTTATAGTAACATCAGGCGTATTCTGGCAGACTCAGGGTAAAGGAAGAATGATCTTTAGTATCAGACTCTATATTCAGTTATATATGCACTGTGTAGAATAAAGTTGCTCCATTTAACATGGTCATACCAGTTCAAACTTCCATGGCAGTGTCTGGCATCTTTCTCTTCCAGGAAATGGAAAATAACACTCATTTAGTTGCAACAGTTACTTATTGTTTGGTGAAAATTTGTTTGTAGAGATCTGATTTTTCTTTCTTAATTTTCAAGTGGACTATCTTTGTGGTGGTCACTGAATTCTTAAATTCTTACTCATGTAATCTTTAAATTAGATAGGCTAAATTGTCTGTTGCAGGCTTCTGTCTTCCCCTCTCCCATTTTTGGGTAGTAGATGAATGTGGCATACCTTGGGCATGAATTGGATAGAGACTCTGCTGGAGAAAACAGTTTAAAACCTTTCTGCCTTCACTATTCAGTCTGTACCTGCAAAAGCGTTCTTGCCTTCATTGAAACAGGTCATATCTGAAGGCATCTGCATCTGACTATTGGTTGTAGAAAAGGAAGCAGGTTATCTCTGTAAAATTTAAACCTAATTTGTTTAAGTTTTTTCTCTCCTTCTATTGTAGTATTGCTTAGGAGGACTTTATGATAGTAAAAATATAATTAAAGCTTCTAGTGACAAACATACCAAATATTTTAAGCATACCGGGGAGCTGTTATGATGTTGCTTCATTTCCTCTATTTATTGCATGATGACAGACACGGTGTTTTGAAGGGAATTTGCAAGTTTTAAAGTTTATATCTCTGCTTTCACCTGATGCTTAAAAAACTAGTCTTTTTTTCTTTAATGCAGTGCTTGTTTTAAACAAATGATAACGCCAAACTTTAAATTACATGTCTATAGCCACATTATATGCGTCTTTTCACAAGCTGGTCATTTTTGATAGTTGAAGTTATTTCACATTTAATTTCACAACAGTTTGTGGTTTTGTAGGTTTTGCTGCAGTGATCGTTAAATCTGCTACTGTGTTAGGAGAACTTGAAAAGTTAAGTTCAGAAAAGACTTTTACGTAAAAGACAGTAAGGCTTTACTTGGATACTTTCTCGTGTTGCAAAATTAGGTTCTCTATACACAAAGATCTGAATTATTTTGAGAAGCTCGTTGCTTTGTTAGGTCGTTCTTGTAACTTCGCCGAACAGCATAGACAATGGAAAGTGGTCAAGAAATCAGTGTATTCTAACTGAATGAGTTTGATTTTTGCAGTGTGAAATGTGTATGGGACTGGAACTTAGTGAGCTTTGAACTAGATAAGTTTTACCCTTTTTCTAGCATTAATAAAGTTTAAGTAGGTTTATTTTTGTAATAACCTGCATTTTTATCTTTTTAGTGTGTTTTATCCCAAATTTCACCATCCTTAATGCAGCTTAGCCTTGTCCAATCTTGTTTCCTATTACATTCTAAACATGCTCTAAACAAAACAAAACATCTCAAGGGAATTCTGCCACAGAAGTGAAATAATCAGTGCTGGGCCAGGCTACTTTAGAATGATTCGATGTTGTAAAATCGTAGTGATGTTAAGTATCTCATCTTTCTGGAATAGGACTAGAATCATGCTGTGTCATTGCCAGTTTGGTGGGATGCATTGTGCCCAGAACACCCTCTCCATTCACTCTCTGTTACTGATTTTGGTAGGAGTGGAAAAGGGCATTTTTGCAGCAAAATACTTTTCATATACATTTCCTTAATAGTGTTTAAAACTCAGCTTTTTCCCTATATAGTTTTGGTTCAAAAAGCAGTTTGAGGCTCTTTTCTGACTGCTTTATTGAGTGTTTAAAATTTCAGAAAGCAATTTTGTGCTGCAAGTTCAAGGACAAAGTTATGTACAGAACAATTTTAGAAGAGATAGCAACTCCTAGTAATTATGACTCTTGAGCTTTAGTAACAGGTTGTGATAGTAGAATAGATACAAGACCAAGAGTTACGCTGTGAGATGGTAAAGGTACATGCTCCAGAGTACAGCTGGTGTTGGTGCAGTAAGGGAGAAATTTGGTCCCTAACCAAAGTTCTTACACTGGCAGAGCTGTTTGTAGCAGTTGAGACACAGCTGTCTCTTTACTAGTTACATTTCCTTAGCGTAGTTACAAGCTAAGGCTAGGACTTATTTGTTCACAGACTTACTGTTACTGTTGATGTAATCATTTTAAATCAAGACTGTTTACCATGTGAATTAGGATGCTCTTGTCATAGATGTTGTAAAGTTGGCTTTGAGACCTTAGTCTTTGATGTTTTTGAAGGAATGTAGGGGAAGTAAGCATCCAAAAGCCTCTGGTGATCTTATCTGTAGTTTTCTAATGCCTTCTTCCTCTTACTTTCCAAAGGACTTTTACCTAGATTCACACACTTAGGAGTACCTTCTGTAGAAACTGAAAAAGTGTGGCTTACTGAGAAGAGAATCTGATAAATTGACAGCAAAGGATGCCACTTACTGAGTACTACTCAGTAGTAATTCCTTCTTTGCAAAAGGTTTGCTAGCAGTACTTCTGAAGGCTGATTCCAGGCTTGATCTGTGTATGTAAGAGAGAAAAACTGGACTTGAGAAGAAGAAATAAGTCAAGACTTAGGTATCTTAGGTTTGTTAATTCTTATTGTAGTTACACCATTTAGAAGCACAAATTTAAGGCCCCACTAATGTATTTTTTTAAACCTATTCATTAAAATGTATACTCAAGCAATGTTTTTGTACTTCTTTGGTTATAAGAGTTGTGGGTACTAATGTTTTTGTTCTGTGATTTTTCCTTGGCGTTCATGAGTAACTCCTACAGAATGATTGCGTACTAAAGCTATATGTATTAGCGGACTAGTGTTTGAATCACCAGGAAGTTTTGAGATCTCTTAAAGGTTCAATAGCATATTATTGGTATGCCACAGGTAAGAGTTCAGTAGTCCAATACTGGAGAAAAGAATGAGGATTACCTCATAATAATCTCTAGTTTGACCTGGTGTTTCATCCTGATAGTGATACTCTGACATGTACTAGGGTAGCAGCAAAAGGTTTGGGACAGACCAGACAGAAGGAGATGGATACTTTTAGGAAAGAGAAATAATAAAGGCAGTGTCTTTGAAAAAAAATCATAATAAAATAAAATCTGAGGAATAAAGAAATTCTAGACAGAAAGATATAAAATGTAGGTATCACTGAACTTTGTAAAAGCCAGACTGGCACCAGTTTAATCTCGGTAGAAATACTGTGGAGCTGAGTTTAGAGATATCCCTTTATATGGAAGTGTGAAGTTGGTAATTATATGTAGGAGGAACATCTAGTACTGCCTCAAAACTAGAACATTTACTGTATGTGTTGATGCTGACTCAAAGGAAGAAAACACTTAGACTCTCTGGTTCTTGACAGGACATCAGAGTTCTAAAGTTTTTCAATTTATGTATGAAAGTTATAAATAAAACTCCAGCAGGAAAAAAATATTTTACTAAAAATTATCTGTCTTTTTTTAAAGGACTGTCTAATTATAGAGGTTGAACTTGAACCTCTTGAATTCACAAATTGAGAACAGGAGTGAAAGCTGATGGTATTTCATGCTGAAAGGGAAATGGGTTTTGACCTTGCCATTCTTCAGCTTCTGATATGCTGTATTTGCAGTCTTGCAAAGCTGTACTTGCCCACTGTGATTAGTGGGATCTTTAATTGCCCACAATTGAAGTTCTTATTGGTAGGAGATGTTGATAATGGTTAGCAGACCAGACAGAATAACATTCTTCATTTTGCAAGGCGGATGAATACAAATGCATTAACATGAATTAATTGGTACTGTAGGAAGTGGTGGCATGCCAATAATTAACTTGTATGTCTTTTTCCATTTAAGGTATCTAGTGGATAGTCGCTGGTTCAAACAGTGGAAAAAATATGTTGGTTTTGACAGCTGGGACAAATACCAGATGGGAGATCAAAATGTGTACCCTGGTCCTATTGATAATTCTGGACTTCTCAAAGGTAACTGCTTCTGATTGTGTAATAACTCAATACTAACATTTAGTGCAAATTTGTCAGAGATTGTTCATCTTGTGTAGTTGATAGTGAAGTGAATCTCAGCATGTATGAAGGTGAAGCTTTCTGTTTGTTTTCAGACCGTGACAAGGGAACTGGAATAGATTTCCCTAACAAATTACAATTTTATAAATAAAATCATTGGAACGTTTTTGCAATGGCAACAGGATATTTTTAATAATGTACAAATTACTGGTTTATAACAATATTTTAGGATACCTTGGTAGTTGAAATTTAGTGAAGTTGACAAATAGCTAGCCTCAGTTCACTAAGATTTTTTTTAACTAAATTGGTTGATTTAAAATAACATTTTTAAGTTGAACTTTAAAATTTCTTTTTGTAAATGAGCTCCAAGCCCTTACTTTGATTCTGGAACAATTGATGGAGAGGTATTATGCAGTTCAGTGATAATATAAAGTGGTGTGAAATGATAGAGGATAATTTCCTAATTTTTTATGGTCTTCTAAATATGGTAAAAGCCTGTCACTGTTACAGTTACTCCGGTCTGGACTTTTGCTAAACTGTAGTCAGATTTGTGGACACAGGTCACAGAATACTTTCCCAGATATTTTAATCTTTAGGTCAAATTCCGTATTTAATGTCCAGTATTAAAATACCATTACAGCTGTTAATATTTAATCTGCAGAATCTAGTGGATACAAAATCTAGCAGATTGTTGGTTTCCTTCTTTGAAGTTACAGGTAATGTAATAGTACTGCATAATTTGTTTGCATGTAGTAATAGAAATTTTTACAACTTCATGGAGTTTATGATGAACTCTAATGTTCTTAATTCAAAACTTCTCAACTGTAATTAATATCTCATTATTTTACAAGTTAAATGTTAAAGATGATTGCCTCTTTCATAGGTCTTGTTATACCATGTTGCACTAGTTGTCACTGCGAGTCAGTGTGCATGTCCTGACAGTGACTAGTATCAGTGCCTTTGAAGAAGGTGCTGTACTGTCATATGCCTCTATACATTCTCTTCTATCCACAAACTTAAAGATCTTTTTGCTGCAGGTGAGTGAGTGTGTTGTATTCTGAAATGTGAGGATCTAGATCTTTTGTACATCCTTGTAGTAAATCTTGCCGTGAGGTGGGCGTGTTCAGGTGATGCTTTTCAGTTGAAATAGATGTAGCAAGATCTTTTTATCCTCAGGCAGCATCAGCTTATTCTCTCTTCTGTGTCTACCCACCTTAAAACAAAGGTGATTTCTAGATGTGCAAAGTACTGTGTGGTTGAACTGTATTATTTATAACTTAATCCACATACATGTTCAGATTATGTTTAAAGTTAATGTCGATATAAAGCCTATATTAGGGTTAGCTATCCAAATCTAAAGTCATGTTCGCCATTTTGCTAAAACCTCCTGAAAACGTGTATTTTATCATTTTGACGCTGCCAATACCCCTTTCAAAATAAACACAGCATTGGGGTTTGTGAACGTCACTTTTTGCTCACTCATGGTTCCAAAACTATGGCTCTGCATTGGCAGTGATACCATGCATCCAATTAGTATCTGACATCTACTGCTCCTACATGAAGGCAGTTTCAAAATTAAAGGCATTAGTGCTCATCAAATAGTAGCTGTCTCCTTCACCTGCTGCAAAGCAGCAATCCTATGTACTACGTTTCCTATGTAGCATAAATTGAACCTGAAAATGCTTGGGTTTTAATCCTGGTTTTGGCACGTAGTATGCACTAGTTGCTCTCATACTGCTCTCCTTAAGTGTTAAGTATGAAGATTTGCATTTGATTTAGAGAATAAAATAATCTAAAATGGGCATGTGTTCTCAGATACTCTGCAGTGTAGTACAGTGATAAGGAAAACTATTATTAAATTCAAGAAAGACTGATTCCAGGAAACTGAAGCAGTATGGTGTGCTTATATTACTAAAATGCTGCTCCCTTATTTCCAGAACATTTGGATGAAGTGAGAGCAGTGAAAAGAATAGGTAGAGATTTCAGTTAATCTCAACATATGCAAAAAATGTTGTTGAATGTAATGGAATGCACATGTGCCATCTGCAAAAGAAGAGATACATAGTCAACTTTAGATTAGCAAAGCAAGTCAACTTCAGATTAGCAAAGCAAGCACAAGGAAGTAATCATTTGAAGTAGCTGCTTGTTCATCATAGAAAACAGTGTCACGTATGAGGGATGGAGTCATCAGAGTCAGGGGACTTCTTTGATGGAATAAAGTTCTGAAAAAATTATACTAGAAGAAATGTTGAGGGGTTTAGAAAGACGGAATGGAGTCCAAATTATATCTTCTCACTGTAAACTCCTGTAGCAATATCAGATCAGTGCAGAAATACTGTATGAACCTTTTAAAGAGATACGTGGACCTGAAGATGTGTTTGTGGATTTCTCCCCACACTTTACTCCCAGCTTTAATGGAACCACCGTATGCATAGTGTTGAGTGGGCCAAGTAAGAATTGATAGTGCAAGTCGAATTATTTCAGCAAATGTTTCATGTATGTAGCTCTTGAATATAGATTTTTTTTTTTTTTTTCCGAATCAATCAAGACAGTTTTGAACCAAAATTTGGCTCTTGAAAATTGTTGCTTTTACAGCTAGCATGAAACAGCCTGAGGGGAAAAAAGGAAAGTACCTTTTAAACAGGTACATTGATTGAAGTCTCATTTATTACGTCACAGTAATTATACTTATCTACATGAACTGAATTCTTTCTTACCTTTATGTTCACTGACATGTTCATGTAAAATTCCATTTTACATTTTGCTCAAGGAATATATGTACTGTGGCTCCCAAAGTAGAATCCAAAGTCTGAGGTTTTCGTCCCCTTTCCTTTGTTGCCTTCTATGTTGCTGTTGTGGTTTTTCTTGCTAAAATAGCAACAAAGCTTTGGCTATTTCTGAACTTGATTATCCCCCCTTTCTAAAATAAGTTCATAATTTTAATACTTACCTGGCTGTATTTGGGGGGCGGGGGGTGGGGGGGGAGTTTAGGGTTTTTTAGTTTAGCTGTTGCTACTAAGTCATTTATGATTTTTATCAGAGAAGATGCATATAAACCATGTTGTACCTTCTTGACTGCATGAAGTCTTCTCTAAACTGCACAGATTGCATATTATGGAAACAGTTATCTTTTTGCCATCTCTGAGCAGCTAATGGTAGTAACAAATACTGCACACTTAAAATAGATGAACTGAAAACAATATGCATCTCCCATGTTTTGCTTGCACATCAAGGTACTTAGCTGGAGAAGGAAAGAGGGAGTCAGCACCAGTGATAATAGGAGAGGAAGAAAACTGTGCTTCTTTCTTTGCCCAAATTTTCACTATTTGGGTGAATAAAGCAAAAAGCATTGTTTTTTTCCCGTAGTTTCCCTTAAAATCACAAACCCTTTAAATCAAGTGAAGGTGTAGCAAGTGCAGGTAGAGTAGGGAGATTTCTGGAGTTTTGGCAAGCTGAATCTTGTTTACTCTTCCCACTGGGAAGTGAACACATCTCTTAAGTGTCCTCGATAGCGTTACCCTCCTACAGAAAAGGTCATGTTGAAATATGCTTTGTTAAATTCTTATACAGAAAAAAAAAAAAGAATAATTGTTAGTATTAAAGGACCTTTAATTTTTAAGTGTGCCTTTTTTTAATGCTCAGGGTAATTTTTTTTTTAATTGAAGTCAGATTATGCTGTATTTGCTCAATCTGTACAAAGGAGAAACAGAGAAGCACAGAAATATGACAAAATGAGAGGACCTTAGTGCTTTTCATATGCGTGTAGTGCACACTTATTTTTGTCCTTGTGAAAAAATGAAGGCAACAGTATTCAATTTGTTTAGTATTCAATTGAACAGTATTCAATTACTTAAAAAAATCCAAGAGGAAGGCCAGTACTTGAAGTGGTTTGAGATTATTTAAGGTTACTTTTATGCTCAATTTTAATTGTGCAGTGTAATTCTGCAGTTCATTCACATAGGATAATGAAAATAAATAGACTGTGCATTTATTACAGTCTATTTATTCTTTATACATAGTCTATTTTCATACTTCATTAAGTTTGTCATCCTGATTCATTCTTTGAAGCAGAATGTGTGGGTCTGCCTGTTTGAACTCCCTCTGTACAGAGGGCTGTTTGCTGGCCTGTAGTTGGGTACTTCCAAATGGAAAGACAGCTGCCCTAGTTGTCTGAGGCTCACAGCGGCTTGGATCTGGAATCACCTCTTACACATACAGGATAGCTGCTGTCTTACTGCTGTAACAAGGTTTGAACCAAAGCTAAAAGCATGCTACTTCTGTAAAGAGGTTGCCAAGTTGTACTTCTTTCAAGTGCTGCATCTCGCTGTCCCTGTGAAGAACTTTGTAGGGACTGTGTTTCCAGCGCATGTAGGGTCATTTAAGTAGGAGGGTTGTACCATGTTATTTTCCCAGTCTGACATGGAATAAATGACTCCGAATTTTGTCTTGGATCTACTGTAACTGCCCATTCCTGCATTTTCAGTGAAGGATGCAACTGTAGCATGAAATGGAAGTATCCATGGTGATGTGGGAATATGTGCGAAGTGGGTGGAGAAACGGATTCGTTTCTCTGAAGGCTATGGTGGTGTGTGATAACAAGTTAGGTGCTTATGATTGCGTGAGGATACGGAGTTGTCACTTGGGTTCCTGAGTGTAGGAATACTACCTGTAGTAGGTGTGCTGTACATGAACGGGATAGCTTGCCTAAATAGCTTCAGAATAGTTTTGCTTTGAACACCATAATACTGATAACATAACTGTGACTCTGAAAATATTTTGCTTGCTATTTACATGAAAAATGTTACATTAAAAACTCAAGTAACTGAATTACAGTATTCAAGTAAAAATATCTTTTCTCTTATAGATGGTGATTCTCAGTCTCTCAAGGAACATCTCATTGATGAGCTGGACTACATCCTTTTGCCAACTGAAGGCTGGAATAGGCTAGTTAGCTGGTACACACTGATGGAAGGTCAAGAGCCAATAGCACGCAAGGTACTCTTAAATTACCTACTGGGATGAATGTGGTTCAGATATAGTCCTGCAAATATGCAGGTGTTGCACAGGAATTTATTAGAAGATTTTTAAGTCCTCGCCTATGATAATCATATAGACAACTCCTGCTTTAGTTGCTTATAGATATCTAATTTTTATTCAAATTTTAAAGGCTTAAGTTTTTAATATTGAGAAACAAGGATGCAAAGGTTATAATACTATTTTTTTTTTTTTCTCCTGAAAGTAAACCCTTTAGTATTTCAAGAAGAACTTGCTTTAGAAGCTTATAAGTCTATTAATGTGAATGACTGTTATCAAGTATAAAACCCTAAAACTGTATTGACTATATTAGTGAAAAACCTGGCTCCAGTAATGTTAACACTGGCAGAGTAGTTGGTAGTTCCTTTTCTGATAAGTGCAGTCTTCTGTGTTCAGCAGCTTGCTAAGGGAGTTTTTTCTTTAAGCAAAAAGCTTACCTCAACACAAGTAGTAGTCCATAGTATGGTGGCTACTGTGGCCCTCCATCACTATGAGATACTTAAAAATTAATGTATTTGTTAATTTCTGTTTGCTGCAACACATGCCATCTTTATTATTAAGGTGATAGGACATTTTACCAGTTTATTGATCATACAATGTTTTTTATTTGTATTATGTCTTAAGATTTTCAGGTTATTGATTATAGTTGCATCCTCACTGGACTGAATTACTGAAGTTTTCAAATATATTTTGGTATGTTTGCCATTTCTAAATTGACCATTAGGGCATATTCTTTTGACTACAGGGATCTTTATTTTAATCCCTGAAAAATGGCTGAAAGAATATTAAGATTAGAATTTAGTTTGATATGACTTCTGGTGTGATATAACTTTTTTCCTCTTATAACATGAGTATGATCTAATTACATGCATGCTGGCTGCTTACTTGAAGTGAATTTCTTTCAAACAAATACCAGATTTAGCTACAGAAGAAATTTTGTGTCTTCAAGGTTCATTTGGTCAGCAAAAGAAGTGGTTTGTTGTTGGTTTTTTTTTTAACGTTCTCTTTAATACAGTAAAAGATATCTTTTTTTAAAAGAGACATCCCTGGAATGTCTCTTTCTTTTTCTCTAGTTCTGTAAGAGCTGAAATTTATTAAAATGGCTCTCCTTCTTTAAAGATATGTATGTTATCAACTTGTTACTGTTTTTCCTGAAGATGGATTTCAGCAAACTGAATGCTCTTCCATCATCATGGTAAAGTAAAAGTTCTGTAATTTTTTCACTTTGGGGGGAAAATGCAAGGAGAGAGAAGGGAAATTAGAGTAACTTGCCTTCTATTTGGAAGGAACTAACTAGAAAAATACATGGAGTGTAACATGTGGCCAGGTAAACTGGCATAGCTTCATTATTTTCTGCCAATATGAATAGTAGTTATCCTCCAAGATGCGTATTCTGGTTCAGAATTTTTCTTTCTGATGCTTTTGTCATTTGTTCATGATTCTTTCTCCTGTCTGCCTTAATGTTTCTTCGTAGAGGTGGGGTGATACTTTTCTTTCATCCTCTTCGTTTACACCCACTTTTTTTGAAATGTGAATCCAAATTTTAAGTTGATACAATGTTGTACTTGATCCATGTCAAATAACATTATGACTTTATGTAATAGGATGTGGTAATACTACCACTACAGTGTCAGTTTTATTCTCAGAAATGTCTTAGCCATAGTGCACAGTTTTGTCTACTGCAAGTATTTTGTTGTTACTCTAGTAGCTGAAAACCCTACTAAGGTGGTCAAATTAAGATGCATTTTTATTTAAATGTCATGGTTGGCAGTCACTAAAGCTAAGGCAAACTACTGAACGGTAATGAAATCATTCACTAATTTTTTTTTTTCCTGTGGCACATGCATAGAAGTTATATTTGTACAGCAGATAGCAGATCTCTCCTAGCAATTAGCTGGTGGCTGTTTTTTTTTTACCATATTTGTCAGATGTATCACATATCAGGCCAATGGTTATTTTTGGAACAGTCTACATGACTAAGTACTGCAGTTACACTTTGGAAGATCAAAGGGAAAAACATTTAAGAGGTGACCCTGAATATTTTTTTCTACGTTTTACTTTTATAAAAAAATTCCTTTATACTTAACTATTTTGTAATAGGTATTACAAAAATTAACATATAATAAACAACTGTGATGAGTAGGTGAAATTTCAAATGAATGTATTCATTATTGAAATATAAGTGGAAGATTTGTTCTGTTTAAAAATGTGATATCCAGATATTATTAGTGTGTATTCTGGTTTTGATAAGTATTCTTTAACTGTGAAAAGTAGTTCTTCATGTTTTGAGGAAGTAGCATACAACTAATGTATTTTGGAATAAAAATAGCTTTTGGTGTCTTTTACCTTTTATTAAGTATCTTATCTTTTGGTTAAGTTTGCATATTTGTGATTTCTGCTGTGCTTAAGACTTTGAAAGTCATGGTGGTGTTATACACAGGTAAGATACCATCATGGAAAAAAAAACTTTTTGATTTACTGTATTTCTGAAAAGTTATAGGAGAATTTTGGTTCTAATTTTTGGCATTTAGTAAGTGTCATATATTCTCTGAAATTCAGTTTCTTGAAGAGTTCTCAAAAATATTTTGAAGTGCGTCTATGAAAACATATTTGGACTGATACCTGATCCCAATCTGTTTTTCAGGTCGTTGAACAGGGTATGTTTGTAAAGCACTGCAAAGTAGAAGTTTATCTAACAGAATTAAAGCTTTGTGAAAATGGAAATATGAACAATGTTGTCACACGAAGATTTAGTAAAGCTGATACAATAGGTATGCACAACTATTTTTAAAAGTATATGATTGTTACTTGTTTAAATACTACTTGGTAGCAAGTTCGGAATAAGTAAGTCTCTAGGTAAAATGATAGATGGGTATTGTAACCATTAAAAAGGATGGGACTAGTCTTGTTTGGGTCAAAATTAAAAGTTAAATTATTTGGAATATTTAGGATTTTTAATGGAATTTTAAAAAATAATAATTGTGCATTTTATTATCTAGGCATCTGTGTTATCTCTAGAGGTTTGTGCTTTTCAGGGAGTGAACAGTGTGGTATTTTCATTATCTTTACTAGATTCCATAGTACTTTTTCTTGGCTTTTGGTGTGTAAGAAATATATTATTTCATGTGTTTCCGTTCATGTCTTTCATTAGCCAACACTTTTTAGTCATGTATATAAACAGAGGGGTATATTACAAAACACAAGAATGAATTGAATTTATAAATTAATGGCTAAAGGTGACCTGCAAAGGCAGTATTCTTTGGGTTGTGAAGTGGCAGGCCAGGCACAATCTTTTACAGTAACTGAGTCCTGTATTAAACCTTGAACTTATCTGTATTTGTGGTTATTTTGCCTGCTCTTTGAGCATTGTGTCATTGGTTGACACCATATTTTGATAACATATTTGTCTCTGACAATAACAATCAGAACATATGCAAAGTTATTGCTGGTCATATAAACTCAATTTTTGGTGTATTTGCGCATATGTATCTGAGATAAGACTCTTTCGATCAGGTGTATTTGTGCAGCTAGAATTGCACTTTATGCCCGTGACACTTTATGCCCAGCCATTACTCTTTGTTTACATTCTTTGACAACAATGTGGTTTTTTCAGATTTTACTTCTTTTTACATTATGGGTAGTGACTTATACTTACTACTAATCCTTTGCAGATTGCTTGCTTTAAAAGCAGAATCGCTTTACTTTGTCAAATTTTAGTCTTTTAAGTTAATCAAGTAATCATCTGCTTGTATTAGAACAAAAACTTTTAAATTATGAAATTTGTCCTTGAAACAAGGCTTCAGTGTTGTATGTTAATTGGCCTTTTTGAGATCTGGTTTAACTTGGGAAGATGTACTTCGTTATTCTCTAAGCAAACCCAGAAACTTAGAAAAAACAATTTAACATTTTCCTTCCCTGAGGACCAAATACAAGCTATTTTGCAGCTATACTGAATTTAATTGTATCATTGGAATTATAGGTAATAGATGAATTCCTGATATTTTCTTTCTCTAATCAGAAGCAGGACATTCTGGAAACTGTTACTTGGAGGTGTATTAATTTTTTCTCAGCACAAATAGAATTACAGTTATGAGAAAATTGTCGTGAAGAGTAATGAGAAACAGTCGGACTCACTGGCAGTCCCTTTCCAGACACTGGCCTTGTTTGCTTTCCTGAGATGTGGATGACATGCTCCTGGAAGCCTTAAAAATTTGCCCTTTCTGAAGCTGAAGCTTCTTATGCAGAGCACCAAGCAGGGCCGTCCTAGCCAGGACATCCAGAAGAGTTTGTATCATAGAAGAAGAGCTACAAAAATCAAAACCACTTTTAAGAGTGAAAAAATAACTGATCCCTGAGGTTTTTCTCTTATCATCCGTTAATAAGATGGTGATTTTTTTTCCCTGTCCTTAGCTTAAGTATATTTAGGGTAATTCATCAAATATATGGCAGAGATGCTCATTATATCAGTAAATAATATGCAAGAGGAATCTTCAGAATCCTGGTTATTTTTCTCCCTGCATTGTATATGCCAGTAAGGGATGCATTTTCATTATGGTTGCAGAAGACTTGTAGTACAAAAAAGTCAGTATCAGCCCCACTGAAGTGAACAGAGCTAAGGAACTATGGTCTTTTCAAGAAGTTTTAATATAATCAGTGATGGAGGGTAGAAAAATTATTTACTGCCTTCAAAAGATCAGTGCAAGACCTTCCTTAATTCTTATAAACAGAGAAAGTTTTGAAGCGTCTTAAATACTCTAAGCACAATATAATATTCACCTACCAGTCTTCAAATGAGTGTTATTCCTGGAATACCTTTGCTGTTCCACTCCAGTAGAAACTAAGCTAAGCTGTATGTCAGTAAGTTAGTACAAGGTAGGAAAAAATAATTACAAAGGACAGACCTAATAATGACGGTCATTTTCTTAGGGTGCTACTGGACACATGTAACGTGTTCTTTGGACCTTCTTGGGAATCTCCTACAATTGAGGACTCTCACCTTGGAGGCAGTGCATGTTAACTTTCAGATTTATTGATGACTAACTCTTTTGGAGGCGGGTGGGAGGAGTTAATTATAAAAAGGAAATGAACTGGATGATAGATGTAGTTCAGGTAGCATTTCAGTCTAGTTATTGTTGTTGATCCCAGAGATCATCAGGGCTTCTGAGTGAAAATGAGTTAATGATCCATTCAGCAGTTTTAATCATATGAAAGTAAGGTAAAATTAAGTCATCACCCAATGCGTAGGCCTTTTCTACCTTTATTCAAGAATTTTACAAACCACAAAATAACAGAAAGACTGTAGTCTCTATTATGGACAAATAGGAGGCAGGTTGCGTCTGCAAAGCCATCAAACAATTCCAAAACTGAGCTGATAAACTTTGTAGAAGATTACACCAGTGGCTCTGTATCTAATGGACTTTCGGACTTTTACTGGTAACTTATCTTGGCAAATGGCTTTCATTCACCTTTCCTTTTAATTTGCTGTAGAATACAAGAATGTAAAACTTGCCACTCTTGAGGAAAATTTATTCTAGGATCTGTGACTAGCCTTTCCCTTCTTTAGGAAGCTGGAATTACTGTTTCATAGTACAGATTAACATCTTACTACAGTTTCCTTTAGCCAGTATTTGTGATAACACTAGCCTTCAGGAGCCAGGGTGTACTTGTGTTAGGATCCACTGAACTTCTCCAGCATCTCAAGACTCTTTTGTGGTTTAACCTCAGCTGGCAGCTCAGCCCCACCCAGCTGCTCACTCACTCCCTGCCAGTGGGATGGGGAGAGAATCAGAGGGGTAAAACAGAGAAGACTTGTGGGTTGCAATAAAGGCAGTTTAATAGGTAAAGCAAAGCAAAATAGGAATTCCTTCCCCACTTCCCATGGGCAGGCAGGCGATCAGCCATCTCCAGGAAGGCAGGGCTCTGTCAGGCGTAATGGTGACTTGGGAAGACAAACGCCATCACTCCCAACATCCCCCTTTCCTCCTTCTTCCCTGCAGCTTTATATGCTGAGCATGACGTCATACGGTACGGAATATCCCTTGAGTCATTGGGGTCAGCTGTCCCGGCTGTGTCCCCTCCCAACTCCTTGTGCCCCCCCAGCCTCCTCGCTGGTGGGGGGGGGTGAGAGGCAGAAAAGGCCTTGGCTCTGGGTAAGCCCTGCTCAGCAGCAGGAACCAAAACATCCCTGGGTTATCAACGCTGTTTCCAGCACAAATCCAAAACACAGCCCCATATCAGCTACAGTGAAGAAAATTAGCTCTGTCCCAACCAAAACCAGCAGAGTCTTCCATGTAGTCTTGCACAATAGTACTTAAATCGTGCAGCTGTTTTCTTGGAGGAGCTCTCTGATTTTTAACAGTACAGGATATGTTCTATATGGGATCCATAACCTTTACCTCACAAATTGAACTATCTCATATTGTGGCTATATAGCTGATGGAGTGAGAGGCATCTTTAAAGGACAGTTCTTCCTGTCTCTTGTAGATACTGTCCTAGTACTAATCTTCTCGTACATGGGATGTGTGTAACACTACTAGAGGAGAACCCCATACACAGCATGCCTCAGACCATACCTATTTGAATGTAATGTTTTCATTTATACTGGAACAGGCACTTTGACTTTAGATCATAAGCCAGCACTTCAGTGATACTTGCTGGGGGTGGGAGGAAGAATTATAAAATGTGCATTGGTTACATTCATGGAAGTACATAAAAGCACCTTAGTTTTGCAGTCTCAAAATTAGCATAACAGGCAAGTGGAACATGGTCTTCACAGAGTATTGGACATAATGTGGAATCGTCTGATAGGATTGATGTTTCTTGTCTCATAACAGTTCGTTAGTGAAAGCTGGAATATGTTAAAAATTAACATAATAAATGTTAACTTAGTACTTGTGAAGAATACAAGCAGCAATGCTCAAATAATTAATTGTCATAATCTGATAATGAAAAATTATCACTTGTAAATTCTTTTAGTGAAAGTAATTGATAAATCTGGATGATTTTTTTTTGAAAGACTGTTGCTGACAATTCAATCTTACATTCAAATATAGGTATTTGAAATCCTTGGTTGAGAATTGATTCAGACAGTACATGATTTTTTTTAAAAAAGTCAACGAATAAAGTAACAGCCTGTTGCCTTGTTTATAGCACCTACCTTGCCTACGTAGCATTTCTATTACAGAAACAGATGATCCAGTCTAACACTTGCTTTCATACTAAAGTGTGTGTTAACTAGTATAGAAGGAAATTGTATTCAGTTGCCTACATTATCTACAAATACTATGTTGGCCAGTTGTCATGCATTTCACAAGCCAATGGCTGGATTTTTGCAAGGTACTTTTAAGCTTCAGGTCTCATTTTGACTTTTTATATTTAACATAGTGGAAGAGAAAATAGTAATCTTAGTAAAAGGGAGCAAGGGGAATGCTAGAAGAGCTGACGCACTGGTGTTTTATCCTGAGACTTCAGGGGAATGTCTCTCGAAGGGCCCAGTTCTGTAGCTGTGTTTTCAGTGATCGTCAGGAATAAACTGTACATTTCTTGACTCCTGTTTTGTTTTCTGTGTTAGCTCTTACAAGACTTGGCTGCCATGGGGCTTTATGAGTATGCCAGTTCAAAAAAAAAAAAAAAAAATAAAATCTAAATGAGGTTGCTATAGTGTAGCACTGTACATATTAGTTCAAATTAAAGAACTCTTTAATAAACTGCTTTTGCATAATGAAAATGGAGTTAATTATGAACTTCTTAAATTTTAGTTGTAGGCAATAGTGATACTACCTTAAAATTATGTAACACTGATTATATTCTGTCAGGTGGAGTAGGAGCCACTAGACCTTTTTATGTTAAATCTTTCAAGGATGTAACATCTTTCATCATCCTTTGAAAATAAATTTATGTGCTTCAGTTTTACAGAATAGTCTTTAATTTCTGTGAGCATCTAAAATTGTATGTGTATATATTGTGGTTAGTGGTAATTGCACTTGGGTATGGGTAGTAGAAGAGTGAAAACCAAAAAGGTTTGATCTGGGGAGAGGAACAGAATGACTTGTGCTCCCTGCACTTTGTTTTCCTGCCAGTCTCGCTTCTAATCATTCTGTACTCACCCACACTCCTGTGTTACCACACTCTGAGAAATTAGTATATGGGTACCTAGGTACCTCCTGTCATCTCTTATTTATCAACTTGTCTTTATTTGGTCTGCTTTGCTAAGAGATTCAGGAGGGAAGAAAATAGTCCTCTGACTGTTTCCATTTTAAAGGCAAGCAGACTAGCAACTTCCTGCTTGTCCTACAACATGAGGTAGTTGCACGGCTATTTCTACAGTTTCATTCATATTTTGAATATAAGAAAAGAGTAGGCGATTCTGATGCTTTACTAGGCTTATACTATTTGTATAGTGAAATGCTAAACTTGTGTTCTCTCCCTTTCAAAACAGATACAATTGAAAAAGAGATAAGAAAAATCTTCAATATTCCAGGTGAAAAAGAGACCAGATTGTGGAACAAATACATGAGTAATACTTTTGAACCTTTGAATAAACCAGACAGTACCATACAGGATGCTGGTTTATACCAGGGACAGGTACAGTGTAATCTTATTTCTTTTTTTTAATACGTTTATTTTTTTGCTCATGAAAATGTAGTTGTACCCAATGAATTTTCCTTCTTTTTAAATGAAAATTGCCCCCAATAGATTGTGTTAAGGATAGACGATTTTATACACAAATTCATCAAAATAAAAGTAGTCTTTGAGTGTATTTTCAGGATAAATACGAGTTTAACTCTCTTGGTGAATTAAAAGTAAATGAACATAATGTTCCTGACTTGAATTTGGTAAAACCTGAAATAGAAAAATACTCCTAGGATCTGGGATATGTTCCTATAATGAAACTCAAAATTTGAAGAACTTTTTAGGTACTCTAAAAGACTGTTGTCTTCTACTCAAATTCCACTGTCCAGATTTCAGAAAGAAATTAGGAAAAAAATGAAAAGATTTCAGATAAGAACTATAGAGACAAAAGAGCTTGAAAACCTGCTTTAGCATGAGACTATAGCATCACTTTAAAATCCCTTTATGGGAGGATTTCTTACAAGACCATTTTTTTACCTTCCAGATGAATATAAAGAACAAATATTGGATGTTAAAGCTACACAAATATAAATGTGAATTGATTGAACAATTTCATCATTAAAATAACTTTCAGATTATTACATTGGTTCCTTAGTCTTAAATAGAGTTAGATGTTTTTTCAATAGCTGTAGTTCATGCGGTCATGCTACAAATAAGAATGGATGAAATTTGATGGCAGTAATTGTAGGTGAGATTATATTAAAGTATTTCCTTTTGCCTTGAAATACTTGACTCTAACCTACTTACCAGCAGTATTTATGCTATGCTTCAGTTTTCTTTTGTATCATGAAAGGCAAGTAATCAGTGCACCAAAATAACAGCTTGAACTATTGTGCCCTTTAGCTTCATGCTGTACACACTTACAAGCCTCACACAGGTAATTTTCACCATGCAGAAATCCTGCTGGAAGAGCTCACATCTCCCATAAAAGATTTACGTCAAAGATGTAACTTGCAAATTGCCTCTATCCTAGTAAAACATTGACTATGAAGCAGGCATGGTCTAATCTAGCCATAAAAAGATCTCTAGGTGACATCTGTACTTTCAGCAAAACAAATATTATTCAAAGCAGAGTTTAACCATGGTTTCTGAAAATGCTAAATGTCGTGGTAGACCATGTGTGTTTGGTCAGTTGCACTTGCTGACACACAAGGTTGTTATTTTTCTTACTGAGCCTCCTAATCTAATAATAGTTATTCTGACTATTACAGTCTGTCTAACCTAACAGTTATTTTTTACTGTGTAATTCTAAACTATGTCTGTGATTGAGTAAATTCATGTTTTGAATTAATCACTTGACTTCTGAAGTGAGCCTTAGGGGTTCTGTTGAACTTTTACATCTAAATCTTCTTTTTATACAGTAGTCTCTGAGAGCCAATGGAAGGAAATACAGCAGAATCTGTCTTACAGCATTCATGACCAAAGATAGCAGACTGCTCTTCCAGATAGAAAGCTGGTCATGATAGAAAGCTAGTTTTCAGTGTCATGTCTTAGTGTATTCGGACTGAAAATGTGATTACATCTTCAAGTGGCAACACGACTTACGTATAAGGTTTTGAGCATAAGTATGTATGTGACTGTATGTCACTGTGTCGAAACATACAGGCATAGCATGGCAGTTAATTAGTGTCCTGAAACATCAGTGTACAGTTATGCAGAATTAGTTGCACTGGAAATTAAGAAGTAGATTTAGTTTAAATATTGGAGTCTAGTTGCCATTTCAAATGATCTGGCTATCCCAGCTGTCAATCCAGAAAGGTATGAGCTTTTTGTAGGTCCTGTGTCATATCTGCCAGCGTAGGGCAGATATCTCAAATACCCAAAGGCGTTTCAAATGGCACTTGATGCCTGTGTTTAGGACTGAGTGTTCTGTACTCCCTTTTGTACCAGTAACAACTTGAATGAAATTAATTTCATTAGCCAGCTGTCCAATTGGAAAATTAATATTATATGAATGCTTTTGCAAAAAGTACCAGAGTAACCAGACAGGTATGATTTTAAGGCTATCAAGGTAGAAAATAGTTTGGGGTTTTGTGTTTGTTTTTTTTTTCTACCTGTCTGTGTTGTGTGCGAGGCAAAATTCCTTCAGGAGTATCCTTTCCTTAGTAGGGCTGTTGTATAGACATGTGATTTCTATAGATTCATAGATGCTGTTTAGACATTGCAGGTCATCTTCCAACCTCTTTGAGAGGTAAGGTCTTGACATTTTATCCTTGGAGTGTTGAGGCCTAGAAATATTAAGTGGCTTGCCCAAAGTCACACAAATTAAAACATGGGGAGAAAAAAGTGAATAGAGCAAAAGGAAGGTGCAGTGTAGCTGAATGGAGTATTTGTGAACCTCAGGGAATAGTAACTTAAACAACAGTCTTTTCCGTCTGCAAATGTCAGCAAATCCATTAAAAAGATTGGAACAGAAAGCAATCTACTGATATTTTTATTTCAATTTTCTTCTTACACTTTTTGTGGTAGGTACTGGTGATAGAACAGAAGAATGAGGATGGAACATGGCCAAGAGGTCCTTCAACTCCTAAGTAAGTTGTGAATTTAAGTCATGTTATTCACTATAGCTTAACTATTTTCACATGTTATTTTGCTTTTAAAAAAACCCTGGTTTTAAAAGTGGCATTTCATTTTCAAAATCAGCCTTCATGTTTTAGCTCAAAATATGCGGAACAGTGTATTTGTTGTAAGTGCTGCACATTCTAGAACATGACATAATAATAATGAATTCCTATGTATACGTTGCTTAATTTTGTTGATTTCAGCCAGTGATATTACATTATCCTGCTTAGAAAAAAAAATCCGTAGTAGAAGACTGTGAAAATTAGCTTATTTTATTTAGTTTTCTGTTTCAAAGCATAGCGTATCTGTTAGGTGAACACAGATACATGTATTTTATCAGGATTTTTTTATATGTAAATGTTTTCATGGATAGCTTGTCCTTTTATCTCCAGAGCACAATATTTACACATAAACATTATTTAAACTGCAGTCTACATTACCAGCGTGTTGCTTTTGTTCATTTTCTTTTCTGTTCTTCCTGCTGCCATCATCAACAATACTTTGATAACGGCAAGTGAATAGAAAGACTTGAATGTGGTTTTTCTCATTTAGATGGATAAACTTTTTTTAGTATTGCTTCCAGAATATAAATCATGTTCTGTTGATTTTGAGGAACATTTGGAAATAGTTACTAGTAAACTAACACGATCTCAGCCTTACAAATAGTTAACTGTGTTTTTTCCCTTTGTTGGCTGGTTCTTGAGCATATCTTTCAGAAAAAGTTCTTTTAGGATACTTTTAATCCTTTTGATATTCTGCATTCATGTAATTGAGGTTCACTTTCGTTTTAAAACAACATTTTTATACTATCATTGCTTATCGTTTGAAGGACAGAGATTCTTTGTCTTTGGTGTTTCATCTCAAGCACTTTTATTAGGAGCACTAGCTTCTGTTAAGTTGCTTAATGAAGTCTGAGTTCAGTTTAAGCTTACTATGAACAGTATAATCTTGCTTATGAAGATGTTATGATACAAAGACTTGAGAATGTAGAGCAGCAGAAAGAATGGCATACAAAATACTTTAAGTTTAATCTCTGACCTCAAAAAGCATCTAGTAGAAATGTAAGTTCTGAGTCAAATTTTAGATCTAGATTTTGAAGGTTAAAAGAATTTAGATAACTCAGTGTCATGGATTCTTTTGGAAGTTTTGGTAGGAAGATATTCTTGGTGATGGTACCTGCTTTTATTCTGCCAAATTTACATTCCTCTTTGTGGAAGGCATTCAGGAGCAGTATATAAATTAAAGAATATCTCTTGGAAGATGTTTGATCCGGAGACAAGTAAAATGGTAATTGAAAATACTGGTGTCAGGCTATAAGTAAACCAGCAAATGAGGGTGAAAAGTTTTACTGTGAAGCTGGGGTATGTTTCTGAGGTTTGGCAGCTATCAGAAAGATTGATTGAAATTTGGTATTCAAATGCATTGTATAGTGGAAAGTTTGCAAAATTTAGTGGATTCAAATAGAAACTATCAACAAGCAGTAATGGGGACAGGTTTTTACATCTGTTTAAAACTTTATGAAAAATCTAATAAATGTTTAAAGGGGTAGAAATACTAAACACTTGCTTTTTTAGTCTTCTGCGTGAGATGCATTAGGAGTATTAGTTTGTCGTCACAACTAGTATACATCCAGATACCTATCTACAGTCCTGTCATTGGTCACACACTAGTCTCACACCAGTTCCTGCT